CCGCCTGTAAGTGAAGCTGGATTAAAATCTGCGGGGTCGCACGTGGGTGGGGAACATTCCAACAAAATTTCAGCTTCCTAGCTTTTGTGGTTCCGGAGTTGAAAGTATGGGACAAAGAACACCGGGATACACACAAACACACACACAGACAAGGGCGTGACAATATGCGTTTTGTGCTATTTTTGGACAGCACAAAACGCACTAAAAAAATGAACCCGTGTGAGCAGAAATTGTTCTGTAAAAACTCATCGTCACTAGCGGATTTTCCTATTTATGAAGCTGATTGTTAGATAAAGCTGACAGCGAATAATTTCCACTGCAGGGTATGTCCTGAGCTAAAAGAGGTGTACACTGGAAACATGGGGATGGAGCTAGCCTTTGCTTCTGTCAATGCTGAGGACAAAGAGCCAGACCTGTTAGTGTTGTACATGGTCGCGGACTGCCAAAGGCAATGCATTGGAATCTTTATGTGGAATTATTTTGTAAATCCAACAGAACCCATTCGTCCTAAGCTTCATCTGAGCATCATCTTCATAAATAGGGAAATCCCCTACTGGCGACGGATTTATATAGGACAATTCTTACTTGCACAAACTCAGTTCCTTTCTTTTGCTTTTACCTTTTTTTTTTGCTTTTACTCATAAGTCCACACTTTTTTGATTTTACTTTTATTCATGTGCCCAGGTTTGCACTAATTTAATTTTTTTTGTAGCGCGTTGTCTTCTCTTTCCCTTCATACTGCTTTCTCCAGTTCTTGTCTCAAGCTCCTGACTTGTCTTCTCGTTTCTTTCTCTATTGTGTCCTCAAATTCCCCCTGCAAAGTAACATCTGAGCTCCTCTCCATCTCCACTACAAGAGTACCCTGGAAGCAAGCAATGTCCCAGCCCCTCCCGTATCCCGGGTATCTGTAGCAAAAACCAGCAGCACGTTTCCCTCTCCTTTCTGTCCATCACCTTCCACTCCCTCCCCACCCCCCCACCACCTCACTCCGAGTGTGCGTGAACTAGCCAACCGACAAAAGATTTAGCCATATAGCCATTAAACTCATCTATCCCAGCCTACCTCCCTTGCCCCGAACGGAGGAACTCACAGCACATCAACTCGCGTCCCTCGCCTTCCCACTTGCAGCATTCAAACTTTCGTCGCTCATCGTGAGGCAGCCTCACCCACTATCATCGAGGGAAAACTTAGGCAAACCATACAGGGCGCCGGCCGGGCCAAGCCCACTTTTTACGGGATTTTTGCAGCTATGCAATGCAGAAAACGCATATTGATGAGAGGTTATCTGTGTATGTGTCTGTGCGTCCGTGTGTGTGTCTGTCACGGTTTTCCATCTCAAGGCTACAGGGCTGAAACTTTGGGAACTCAATCTACATGCACGTACGGGCCCCAACCCCCAAAATGGGCGTCACTAGTCGCGTGGTACCCACGCAAGAGCCCGCCAAAGTTTTTTACAGGTAAGCTGCTAACTCGAGAACCAGAATTGTTTGGGGACTGAAGTTTTAAGAGGATGTTTCCCGTCCAAGTAGGTATTAATGAGCTTCAAACCAGTCCCGGGACGCGTGGTACCCACGCACGGGCTCACCAAAGTTTCTCTCGAGTAAGTTGCTAACTCGAAGACTTGAAAAGCTAGAAGACTGTAGTTTTAAGAGGATGTCCCCCGTCCACGTAAGTCAACGAGCTCAAACGCAGACATCGGGTACGTGTGGCACCCACGTATTTCCCCACTAATTTGTTAACTCAGGAGCTAGGAGAGCTAGAAAGCTCAAATTTTTACAGGGTATTTTCTGACAGTTTTGGCGGCCAGTCTTAATTTGCTTAGCTAGAAGCATTTGCCGAAAAAACCGATGCCGATAGCGACAAAGACTACTGGGAACTATGCAAAAAACGCATTTTCGCACGGGCAGCCCGTGCGTTGGCCAATTACTGTAATTTCCGAGACTGCAAAACAGGCCTCAGCTGGCACAGCCACTTGATGGAATCATAAGCAGCGGCCCACTTGTTCCGATTACTCTTTAAATGGAAAAATTTATGAAAACAAACTTGCGTGCCGATATTGTCGTGCGACAGAAGGCTGAATTCGGGTGCAACTGCAAAATAACTGTTAGCGTGTGCTTCTTATGCTTTTTTGCGCATTCATGCAAATGCGAAGACGCATACTCCAACGACTTCCGGCCTGTGTGTGAGGGTGTATGTGTGTGCCCGTCTGCCCAGGTATTTCAGATTGGCAACCAAGTAGGTTTTGATGTTGACATTCTATCAGTGGATCCCCAGCTCGTGATCTCAAGAATGTTTTACACCCTTCAAACAAGTCCGTACTCTACGTACAAATGCGCGTTCTGGGGGGAAATTAATTCGGGAAACAAAGCCAGACAGTTGAAATTTTAATGGGATATTCCTTGCCCAAGAGCAACTAAAGATTTCAAATTCAGTTCCTAAGGACGCTTGGTCCTCATATCCCCGGAACCAGAACAGCCAGATCATTTCCATCTTTTCGACGGATAAGGAAAGCGTGCCAGTTG